ATATATAATATAATATAATTTGGAAAAAGTAACATTTTAATTTCTAAAAATACAAGACCAAACTGATCTCATATCTCTAATAGTTTAAATGATCGAGCACAACACTACAAACAATATATTTACCTCAAAAAATAGATACACCACTTGCTGGTGGTGCTTTATTAAACTAACTAAAGAATTTATGACATTTGTTTTAGTCTGCAAAAAATCATTTTTTATGTTGACCAATAAATTCCCCTATCTAATATAAAGAATTAGGTAGGGTTTATATTACCTAGGTTCTTTAAGCTCTCTATAGAGGCAAGCCCCTACAGTTAATATCTTCTCAAATGACCGATGTCACTTAAGAAAACTTGATTTAGATAAAAAAATATTGTCTTCAAGTCAAGAATTTCAAAGGATATGAAAAAGGATATGAATTTTCAAAGATCAGACCAAGAAGTGTCAAATGGGAGAGACTCAAATTTGGAACATTATTATGGAATCCAAAGGAGGAAAACTAGGGGGTGTCACAGATCTTGAGGATAACCTCAATGATTTCCCAAGTTATCATGTGATTTGGCTTGAATTTCAAAAAGAGAATTATTGAATGTTTCATCTTGCCAATTCTTTTTATTTAGGACATACAATTGCAAGGCACAATCATACAAATAGCCTAGAAAATAGGAGGGTTTAGGTCGTAACGAACGACAACCTCAAAATCCTAAAGCGAGTTAGGGCTTAAATTGCACAACATGATTGTGCAAAAGACCTAAAGATAAAGTGAGGATTTTTGTTACACTAGGCAAGCCATCTTGAAATCCTATGAGTTATTATGTTTAGTTTAAGAAAATATTTGTTGTTATAGCTCCTCGTGTTGTTGCATATCCTCACGCTGTTGTAGATTGTTTCTTACAGAGTTAGCTCCAAGCACCTTGCCAAAGTAGCAGTCCTAAATTCTAAAGGTTTTGATTAGAAGAGGGTTGAGTATGTGGGGGGGGGGGGGGGGGTTAAAGTTGATTAGAGCGAGACCAATTAGGATCCCACGGTTCCATCGTTTCAGTACTACTATTTTTTTTTTTAATTTACTTAGCTTAAATTAGTTGTTAAACCCATTTAAACTGGGGAGATCTCATTAGCAGCCATGGATTAGCTCGTCTGAGGGACTCTTGTAAATCAAAAGGACGTGTTATGAAGTTGTATCTCAAAGGATTTATGGTTACCTTTGAAAAGGTTTAATTTAATTTTGAAAAAATTTTATTAATTTTTAAAAGTTATCATTTTATCAAACAAGCATGCATGGTATGTAGAAGCGGTAGTAATTTTGTAGTAAATGAAATGATAGAAAATAAAAAAATCGTAAAGGCATACCTGTCATCTTCATGTTGCTCCCGCTGAAATTTTAGAACTTGCAACATATATAGTTTTGCAGGGAATACAAAAACAGGAAGACCAGACGAAGGTGTAGCCACCAAACCCAAGTCATCACTTGATGAGTCCCTAAAGGTTTTAATGGATGATTTTCTTGAGCAAAGAATTGAGCAAAGAATAATAAGTTCAATAATAAGTTCAATTGTCCTTAAAAAATATTCAAAAGGTCATAAAAGTGTTTGGGGAACAATCTCTAACAACTTTTGGAACCCTTTTAAAATGGTTTGAGTTCATCTGAACCTATTATATTATACAGTTAATCATCCCAAATTTTAAATTTAGTTTTAATGAAATAATACACCCTATGCTCGGTGAACCTGATATTTTAATTATCTCAAGAGTGGAATACTTCAAATATTCACTTGATATTTTACTTATGAGTTATGTAAGTGGGTGCCCCAGAGGCAAGCTCAAGTCATTAAAG